ATTTCATCACAGAAATATCAAATACTTCAACAAAATAATACAACAACAAATAGTTCAATACAAATTATATAGTTCAACAAATAAAAACTCATATTTCATCACACGTCGTGCCCGGCGTCGCCCTTGAGCCTCCATAGATGTTATATCAGATCTTGCTGCAGTTGATGATGCTCTATCGGATCTCCTGACGCATACTGAGATAGGCAGTCCAGGTTACCGGTAGCTGGTGATCAACTTCGGCTAGAGAACCCTGCCTGTAGTATGGTTCAGTGTCAAACACTGGGTCTTCTTGCTCGCTCTCGATGATCATGTTGTGCAAGATGACACAGCAAGTCATAATCTCCCAGATTTGACCTTTCGACCAGGTCTGAGCGGGGTACCGGACAACAGCAAATCGAGATTGGAGCACACCAAATGCCCGCTCGACATCCTTCCTGCAAGCCTCCTGAACCTTCGCAAACCAGGCATTCTTGCCTCCTGGCACAGGGTTTGATATCGTCTTCACAAATGTCGACCATCTCGGATAGATGCCATCAGCTAGATAGTACCCCTTGTTGTAGTGCCGCCCATTGATCTCAAAGTTCACCGGAGGAGAATGACCTTCAACAAGCTTGGCAAAGACAGGAGAGCATTGCAGCACGTTGATGTCATTGTGAGTTCATGGCATACCAAAGAAGGAGTGTCAAATCCAGAGGTCATGTGTGACCACCGCCTCAAGTACCACACTGCAACCGCCTTTGGCGCCTTTGTACATCCCCTGCCAAGCAAATGGGCAATTCTTCCATTTCCAATGCATGCAGTCGATGCTTCCAAGCATCCCAGGAAATCATCTTGCTGCATTCTGTGCTAGGATCCGAGCAGTGTCTTCCGCATTGGGTGTTCTCAAGTATTGCGGTCCAAACACTGCCATCACTGCCCGACAGAACTTGTAGAAACACTCAATGGTGGTGGACTCGGCCATGCGCTCATAGTCGTCGAGTGAATCACCGGGAGCTCCGTATGCAAGCATCTTCATCGCTGTCGTGCACTTCTGGATGGAGGTGAATCCAAGGGCGCCGGTGCAATCCATCTTGCACTTGAAGTAGTTGTCGAACTCCCGAATGGAATTCACAATCCTGAGGAAGAGCTTTCGGCTCATCCGATAATGGCACCGAAATGTTTTCTCGCCATGAAGTGGAGCATCGGCGAAGTAGTCGGAGTAGAGCATGCAGTAGCCTTTGAGACGATGCCGGTTCTTTGCTTTCACCCGCCCCGGCGCCGAACCACCTCGCCGCGGCTTTTCATTGCTCGCCAACAGCTGGACGAGGGCGGCGAGCACCATGAGATGCTCTTCTTCCTAGACGTCGGCCTCGGCTTCCTCCTCCAGCAGCGCGGCGAGCGCTTCCTCGTCATCTGAGTCCATCGCCGAGGCAGGCAAATCGCCGAACACCTTGCGCCCGGTGGGCGTGTCCCCGCCGCTAAACTGCCCCTCCGCGGTCGGAAACGGCGGCCGGAAACGCCCAGCTGCTCTTGGAGGGGCTACCGCGGCGAAGCTCTGCTATTTTTCCGGCGTGGAATGGCTATCTAGTGGTGAAAGGCGGCGGGCGGCGCCGGGATATAGCTACTGGCGGCCGAGGGCGCGGGGGTGGGAGGCGAGTCGGGGAAGAAAACCTTGACTTTTTCCCTGACGGCATGGGCCAGCCGCGCTTTTTTCCTTGCGCCGGAGCCCCCAACTGCCCCTCAGTGCGCCGGGTTCGGCCTGTGACCGCCAGGCGGAAAAAAGGGCCGAACCGGCATTTTTCGGCGTCCTGAGGGCACGACTGGGGCTTTTTTTTACGCCGGCACCGAAAAAATGGCCTGAGGAGGCCTGTTGAGGGCACGGCTGAAGATGCTCTTATTCTCCGTGTACAAGCGACACCTTGCGGCTCACAACAACGGTCTTTCACAAAATGACCCGTTCTCCTCTTGGTCATGCGCCAGTCTTCGGCCCTATGGAGCCAACCACTCCGAGTTTTTGTCGATTTTGTGATAGCACGAGTAAAGTAACTATGCATCGCCACGCCATGGCTGAAGACGATGACAAAGCTGGTTCCTTTCGTCTTATTTAGACCAACAAAATTTTCGAGAACCAACTACCAAGACACAATTTGCTTTTGATCAACTTGCAATTATCTTGTCCAGATAGAAGTAAAAGTAGCAGGGTACGGTCGCCTTGGCACGCGGTTTAACATTTTATAGCGTTGTCAAACGTACGTGATGTGAGTTTGTGAGATTCGAATTAGAGGGATTAAATTCCTTTTTTGTACTTGTCTATTTTATTTCGCAACGTGGCAGTTTTGTTACCAAGCCTACTGTTCCTCTATGAGCCAGCTGTTTTTTTTGTGAGAAGACAATTGGTTTGGCGATGTCAGTGGTGCGTAGCGTTTTCCGGCGAACAGACCCAAGTACAGCCGAGTGCGTAGCGTTTTCCGGCAAACAGACCCATTTACACCTTGCTGATTTTATTCCCAGTAGAGTAAGGGCCTGTTCGGTTTCTCTCCACTCCAGCGACTCAGCTCGCGAAGCGGAGCAAGCTGCTGCAGCTTTTTATGGAGCAGCTCAAACCGAGCTCCGCAGCTCCATGGAGTTGAGCGGAGTGAAGAGAAACCAAACGGTGCCTAAAACTACTTCCCAATTTATTTATTTTTGTCATATATATTACTCGTAATTTTAAAACAGTCACTCGAGGCCATTCGTTACTAGCTTGTCGTCATCCCCTAGCCTTGATAATTCAGGTGCAAGAAACCAAACCAAGTAAAAAAACCTGTCATCCCTCTCTTTCTACTTGTTGAGATCTCAAAGGCTGTTATAGGCCTACTGACAACCAAATATATAACTCCCCGCAAAAAAAACCAACCGAATATATAACAACAGTAGGTGAAGTTGCTATGCTTATGAACAAGAATCTGAATTTGTCTTTGTAGAGAAGGGCGACCATGCATGAACACGAGTAATTTTATAAGCAGCAACATGGAAATGCATATACTCCAAATTAAGCACATAGATTCAACAGCCACAATAATTCATGTCCCAGGGGTATTCCTCAAACTGGGAGCGGACACGCAGTTCTCCTTCACACACATGCATGGATTCCACCACAAAGAAAGGAACCAACCTGTTTTTCATGCTCCAGAGAGTGGGTGGTCTCCATGACCTGGTCTGGTGACTGCCAAAACGGAAGGCAGGATTCTTGCGAGGCAGGCGGCATGATGACTGGTAAATGAGGCAAACAAACAGAGGCAATGACATCAGCCTCCACCAATCGATTCTTACAAGGCTCTCCCCAGGCAGGCATTTGGAATATTGGATTAGATAGAAACTAGGGCGAAAACGAAGGCATTTGGAATATTTGATTAGATAGAAACTGTGTAAGCATGCTAGTTAGTTTTTAGATCGTCACACCTCCAAAAGTAAGTAAATGTTGGTAGGAACATTCACCCACGCATGAGATCCAAAAGCAATTCACATATCTCACGCCTATCATTGAGAGGGTAGCTAGGGTTTCCATTTATGATGCGCTGATGGAGATAAGAAACCGCCTCGTTGCATCATGTGATGGAGTGCTAGTGTAGGTTTCCGTGGAATCAAAGGGTGGGGAGAAATGGGTGAGGCTTTGGATTTGTGGTGAGATGGTTTAGCAAGGAAGCTTATGCCATAAAAATGCAGTAGCATCTCAGTTGCAACAACCACCACTGCCTTACAGCAATGACAGAGCGATTGATGTGCCAACTGCCAACAAGTGATAAGAAAGATGGGATCATCTTCTTCTTTTTTTCGCATACGAGAGAATGTGATGAAACCAAGCAGTAGACATGTTTTCTTAATTTTGGGTGCAAAATATGATATGGCTGGCTCTCATAAATTCAGTCTAACTAGTAGCTCCAACAGTTGAACAGACAAGCTCAAGAACATCGTCAGCTTGTCTCTGTTAGGTGCGCTCCATTATGCGAACTCGCACATTCCCATTCCATTTGCTTCAGCATATCTTGTATTGCTAAGTTGTTGTTGTTAGGGACAGTGATACATGGACTTCAATTAAGGTTTCAGATTACTATTAGGCTGCTGCTTATGTGCTATTGATAGTGTGTGATCCATATCTTAGCTTTGGGAAAGGGAAAGCAAAACAGGAGAACCTCGCAGACTCGTTTGCCCTAACCTTGGTAGTTAAGGTGCAACCAACCAACCAAACCAAGTAAAAAACCTGCCATTTCTCTCTTTCTACTTGTTGGGATCTCAAAGGCTGTTACAGGCCTGCTGGCAACCAAATACTCCTATATAACAACAGTAGGCGAAGTTGCTATGAACAAGAATGTGTATTTGTTGTTCAAAAGAAGGGTGACCATCTATGCATTTTCGAACCCAATTAAATAGGCAGCGAAGTGGAAATGCATATACTCCAAATTAAGCACACAGATTCAACAGCTACACTGGAAAGCACAATAATTCATGTCCCCCGTTATTCCTCAAACAGGGAGCAGAGACAGACAGTTCTATCTTCCACACACATGCATTGGATCCACCACAAAGAAAGGAACCAACCTGTTTTTCATGCTCCAAAGTGTAGGCGGCCTTCATGCCCTGGTGTGGTGAACTGCCAAATCAGAAGGCAGGATTCTTGCGAGGCAGGCAGCATCATGACTGGTAAATGAGGCAAACAAACAGGAGTGACATCAGCCTGCACCAATCAATTCTTACAAGGCTCTCCACAAGGCGGGCATTTAGAATATTGGATTAGATAGAAACTAGGGCGAAAACGAAGGTACTGTTTACTAGATCAGTCTCAAATCACCTAACAAATCACAATCTTTTTTTCCTACCGCTGGTGCCATACCAGCGTCGAAGCTACCATTAGGAACCCCCCCTAAGACCTAATCATGAGTAACTGTTCCGGGCAACGATGATGGAAATAAATTAACACAAGCCTGAGTTTATAGGCATCAAGTTCAGGATCATGTCATGGCTTCATTGTATCAATCTCTTGGCTAGTTTGAGGGAGACTGCTGCTGCTCTTCAGGGGCCTCCTCGGCCTGTTGCCCTTGAGGCTGCTGCCACGCATATGCCACTGGGTGACCCTGCTGGCCACCATACATCATTCCTACTCCCGGTACCTGTTGTGCTTGCACATAGTAATAAGGAGGATATGCATCAGCCGGTGCCCCTAGAGCAGCAGGTGGCAAGCCCACCCTCGGAAGCCCAAGGCCTTCCTCCTTCATGTCATCCCTGGGAATGATGTCCACCAAGAAGTCGTAGATGTCAGTCCTGGTAATGGCAGCTGCAATGTCATTCTTCTGCAAGGTCCGGCGCTTGTTCTCCTCAGTGTGCATCCATGACCTGAGTGTCAACTCTAAGATAAACACCTCGCATGCCTTTGCAAAGACAACAGGAGCTTCTGCGGAGATCATCCGGACATCCTCGTCAGCCTTCATTATCTTTTTTATCCTTGCCAGTGGTAAGGTGTGGTTCTTGAAGTCAGTTGCCTGCTCAATCTCTTCCATTTGAGTAGCCCAGAACTCACGAAGTTGCTGCTGCTGCTGTTGCTGCAGTTGTTGGTGAAATTGCTGGGCCTGTTGGTAAACCAGTTGGTGCTGAGCACTGAGTTGAGCTGGATTAGCAGGGAATGGCACTGCAGGCTGCGAGCCAGGAGGAATGGCGGCAGGCATGGCTGGAGCTGGATAGGCAGCAGGAGGAGGATATGCTTGTGACCCAGCAGTGGCCACACCCACCACAGGCTCAGGCTGCGAGGATGGTTCCATGTGAGATCTTGTTCGTGCAAAGCCAAATACCTCCTGAGCACTGCGCAAAACAATTAAAGGTATTGAACAGTTAATTTTCATCTAGATTAATTAGAAAGATCAGAACTAAGTTTACAAGATTGGAAATTCATAAATGTATCGTAGATGAATGGGAATTCCATCTTATAATGTGAACGAAGGAATCAAAGCAATCGAACTCAACATTTAATCTTCAAGGTCCATTGCAGCATTCCAAACACAAAAAGATTCTCGTTACACATGAAAAGGTGAAATTAAAAGGATTAAACGGAAAAGTATGATCAGAACACAAGCAGCAGCAGAAATGAAATCAAACTGACTATGTAAATAAAAATCACAAGTTCCCATCAACCTTATCCCTAATATGTGCGATAAGAACCTTCATAATGCAACTATCAATTGACCTCAATAACACTGAAGGTTGATAGCAGTATTCCGAACAGAGAAAGATTATCGCTACACATAAAGCAACTGAAATTAAAAGGATTAAAGGCAACAGTATCATCAGAACACAAACAGCAACAGAAATAAAATCAAACAGACAATGTCAATCAAAATCACAACTTTCCATCAACCTTGACCCTATTATGTGTGAAAGGAAGGAAAAGTTTCCTTCGCACTACCACAATCCATATATTTGTAAGTGTACTTTTGCATGAACAATCAATCCCTGCTAATATTGGTTAAGGAGTAACAAACACAGAAGAGTCCAATATTTGACTACTTTAAAAAAGCAAATTAGATGGATCGGCACTAATATTAGAGAAAGTTCAGAGCTTCAGATCATCCATGTCTGAAGATTTTCAGTGCAAGCAGGTTCCGTAGATCACACAGAAAAGGCACATAAACCTACACCTTCAGTTAGGACTCGGGAGTCTACAGAAAGGATGGCATGTATAGCTATGTATTCCTCCTAAACTAGTAAGGCAGTATCATGTACTTGCATAAACCAAGAGCTTTGAATCAAGTCAATATCACACCTTGTAAAGTTCAGCTAAAGTTAAAAGTGGAGTGGCGTGTAAAAGAAGGACTTCTTTATTTCCTGATGGCACGGCTTACTTTTACAAACTTTGGTGATGTGAAGGACAAAGCTTATTTAATTAAACCTACTACATCACCAAGTTTGTCACATATATCCAAGACGCCAAATGACTTACGCTGTCTTCTTATCCTCACTTTTCACTATCAGTTGAAAATGATTTATCGTGTTCTCCCAAGTATGCTAAAGGCGGATAACAACTGCCTTAATAGGATTTCTTAGAACATATAGCAATTGGGCAGCTTCAGACGATTCACGCGTTTGACATGGGCAAAGGAGACCTGGGGTCTGTCGTGTCACCATGACATATGGACACGGCAGGTCATATATCGATACCTTCCAAAAATCAGACTGAGAAACGTATGCAACCAAAAACATCGACAATACGTTGGCGTAATCAATGCGTCGGACACGTGGAGGGGTCGACTCCACACCAATACTAATTTATAGAAGGTTGAGCTTTCGTGGAGCCAATCCCAACTAAGCCTACTACACAGCGGAATTTGTCTCTATCGCAATCTCACTGGATTGGCGCTGAAGATAAACAGAACGGCGGAAGCGCGCACTGTAAATCTTTGAACTCTCATTTTGCTTAGGCGCTGGCAACTGAATTTGATGCATACATCCAATTCCGCCACACAGCTTAATTACCTGGGGGGAAACTTGGCTATATCATAGTACGATCGAGCGAAGCAGGTACAACAAGCTGCGCATGCCTAGGAAATCTAGGAGAAAACATAACTGAACTAGGTTAATTACAGATCACTCGGGCGCATGCAGTGGAACAGTGCCAAGGCATGGGCCGATGGTTACCACACTCTTCCACTGAAAAATTCGTACGAACACCGCCAATTTCACAACTGAAACCATCTCCGAATCGCACTTGCCCTAGGAATTCAGCAAACGAGAAGCCACCTAACAGATCGCAAGCACGACATGCGCGAAACGGAGAAGAAAGTCCCGGATCAATCTAAGCAGGCGCGCGTGCGGGGATTGGACGGGATCACGCGCCGCGGACTGGCCCGCGAAATTGG